AGTTGGAGTGCCAGGCTTACATGCCAAGGAGCACCCTCGGTGACAGCACTTGCTTTTGGTGTCCTGATGATTCCCGAACAGGAATCTAAAGCCTGGTAATGCAGACACCAGAAGAGGAGACTTAAGACTCCTTGACCAAAGACTAAGGAAGCTTCCAAGCCGCTACCTGAGAAGAGGGGAGCAAGCAGCTGTGAGGTGCGTGTTTGGGGTGGGGGTGAGGCGGAGGTAGGAGGAGAGCTACAGATTTTTGCGATGCAGTTTTAAAGTTACTGCTGCAGATAGTGAAATAAGGCTAACAACATTATCAACTATTTAAATACATGGTATCTCAAGAATGCATTGTATTCAGGAAATTCCAGAGGTGTAGTTCAGTAGACCACACCATAAGATAACCTTAGGGTGATTGTGGCAAGACTATAGCAACTAGAAAATGTTTTACCTTGAGCTAAGACTCAGAATGGTCCTGGAGATGTTTGATCAATCAACCACCAAATCTCTATTGACTGAGATTACCATGCTTGAGCCAGTTGTGCAATGAGCTTCTTAAACGTTTATGAAAAAATGCATTATTTTACTATGGTAGCACCAGTTCTGCCCTTATTTGAATTTTACTCCACTTAGTTGGGAAGTTTAAATGTTGAGCCTTTTAAGTTTCCTTCTGCAGCTTACTTTGCTTTTCCTGCCTTAAATTCCATTTGAACTCAAATGAGAGCTCTTTTAAAGAGAACTGCAGAAGGAGAAGACGGAGCAAAATCTGGTCTAATGATTTACTCTTGTCTTTGGAAGGAGAAGGGAAATAAGCTACCTACAGACCTATTATTTTTAGAGACTATTGAAGCCAGGGAAACAGACTGCTCTCACAATGGTGCTGTGTACAATGCCTATCTGTTTGTGGATTGTTCCCTCATTGATCGCTTGCAGCCTAACTACTGGGAGAAATCAATGGGAGAGGCAAGGTCGTCCAGCATCAGGTTATCTGCACACGAGTGGGAGGGAAGGCCGCAAATAGACACCGGGCTTTGGCTCTGCTTCATATTAGCCACCTGGCTGACTCTGGACACATCAGTCCCTCTATCTCAGCTCATGTAGCTGCAAAATAGATGTGGGGAGAGAGTCGGGCACAGTCTATGCAAGACATGGAACCTCAAGTTCAATGTTGTTACAATGCCTCCTGGGGCAACTTTTACAGGTCGTTCTTCGCTGGTAGAATTTATGAGAACTGATTTTCCCCTTGTTGTGCTTCCTCTTTCCCATCCTTGAAAAATATATTAAGTATGCGGCAGACACTATGTTCTGCAGTTTTTATATACAGATTAATTGAATTCTCACAACAAGCTCACTTGAGCAAATGAGCCTCAGAGAAGTGTGTGGGGGTCACTGGTGAGTGGTCGACCTGCCCTCCTTGCTAGACTAGCATCCTCGGCCTCACATAGCGCCATACTAGAAACATCTGGAGACCGTTAAAGACAATAATAACACTGTGGCAGCCCGGGGTTCGGATCCCGGGCGCGCACCAATGCACCGCTTGTCAAGCCATGCTGTGGTGGCATCCCATATAAAGTGGAGGAAGATGGGCACAGATGTTAGCCCAGGGCCAATCTTCCTAAGCAAAAGGATGAGGACTGGCGACAGATGTTAGCTCAGGGCTAATCTTCTTCACACACACACACACAAAGACATACACACACACACAAAGACAATAATAACAACACAACATGGACCAATGCTGGGTCCTCCCTGGGCAGGTCAATCAGACTCTCTGGGGGTGGATCCCGGGCTTACCTGCGTTTCCAGACTCTCCCAGCTGATGCTAATATGCAGCTTGTCTTGAGAACCACTGTTAGACCACACTACCTCTCCAAAATGAGAGGTGAAAACAAGCATAAAAAAATTAAAAAGGAATAAGACTAACATTTATTGAGCCCCTACATGCCAAGTGCTTAATCTTATCTAATATTCCCAAGCAACTGGAAAAGTATTCCCCTTTTACACATTTGGAAACTTCTGCGGTACTTAACCAGAGAGGTTACGTTCCTTCCCCCAAGTCCCAGAGCTCATAAGGGGCAGAAAGAAGATTTGAGCCCTGGCTTGTGCTCACGTCACTGCCCCACACGGCTAATAAACATGCTTCTGGCCCACCATGAGGACTCAGAAGAGATCCAGCCAGGATTGTAAGAACTTGAGCCTGAAGGAAGTTAGAATTTCAGTAGAATGAAACAAGTATGGAAGGTTTCCAAGGGGAACAATAAGGCAGAAATACCTCCAAGGAGAGGGAGAAGCATAGTACATTGGACAGGGGAAGAGGCAGCAAGAAGAGGCAAAGGGTGAGGAAATACTTGTATTACACTTACTCTCCGAATTCTCACAACCACCTCAGGCGGCAGGAACTATAATTATCCCCGTTCTGCAGATGAGAAAACTGAGGACCAGTGAGGGTAAGCAACACCCTCAGGTTACCCAGCTGGTAAGTGGCATAGTGTGGATTCAAACCCCGGGTCCAGAGTCCTAACCACAAACGGCTTACGTTGCCCATCGCTTTTCAAAGGCAGAGAAAGGAGGAGAAGCAGACAGGATTCGTTTTGTTTAATGCTCTGAGGCAGGCACGTTCATTCATTATCTCAATGAACCAATGAATTCAATGAATCACTTCGTCCTCTTGAGGCAAATACGACCTCCAACTTGAGTTAAGGAAACAGGCTGGCCGAGGTTTGAATCTTTTGCTCAAGGTCTCAGCAAATCTGAAGCAACAGTTTCAAACCCTGGGTTCAGTGTTCAAACCCTAATGCAGCTCATTCCAAACCCATGTTCCACAAGAGCAACTCTCAAGTCAGAAATAGTGTTAGAATACTGATGGCCAAAAACACAGCACACGGGGTTCTAAGAAGGGGAAACCACACGGGAGAGGATTGAAATGGATCCATTATGTTGATTGGAAATTGGGATATGACTGAGTGAGGACGTGTTCCAATTTTGTTTGGCCAGGGAAGAACTGAAAACAGGCAGCAGAAAGTGGTTTGGAAATAAACCTACTAAACAAATGCCGGATACTCTTATCTTTACTGGTTGGTTGAGTCTGGGCACAGCCACCCGAACAGAGAGTAGCTAACCTGTCTGTCTGAACCTGGCTTCCCTTGTGCCCAACTGGGACGTGACCGCCAGCAGCGAGGTCCCCATTTGACCGCATCTGACCTTGAAAACTCAGCTTAAATCGCTTTCTTTGATCACTTCTGTCACTCTACAACTCTTAGAACTATAAATGCCATTTTTAATTGAACTTATTTTCGAAGTTACAAAATAATATATGCCTTTTATTTAAAAAATAAACTTCAGGGCCGGCCCCGTGGCTTAGCGGTTAAGTGCGTGCGCTCCGCTGCTGGCGGCCCGGGTTCGGATCCCGGGCGCGCACCGGTGCACCGCTTCTCCGGCCATGCTGGGGCCGCGTCCCACGTACAGCGGCTAGAGGGATGCGCAGCTATGGCATACGGCTGTCTCCTGGGGCTTTGGGGGAAAAATAAATAAATAAATAAAATTATTAAAAAATAAAAATAAAAAAATAAAAAATAAACTTCAGAAGATAAGCATGGAAGTAAAAAGGGTGAGGCCCTGTAACTGCTATTACTATCTGCCAAGTAGTCTTCCGGGTCTTTTCTGTGCACATGACAGGAATATGTCAGGATTGTCCAAATCATTTTTGATGATTAAATTCTGTGATCAACTATGATTAAATTCTTTGTTATGATAAACATCTTGGTGTATTCCATTCCTATTTGAGATGGAAGAAGAGACCTTTTAAAACCAAAACAATTACATTTCAGGCCCAAGAAAGGTATAAGGCAGAAACATCATTTTAAATGAGAGTTGAAATACTCTTCTCAATTTGCAGAGGGAAATAGAGGATTTGATGAGGAGCACCAGCTTATATCCCCTGCAGCAGCTCTCAAGGCCCTCACGTAGAGTAAGCATTCAATTAGCACTTCTTGAATGAATGAAAAATTGTCCCCTTTTATGGTGGTTTTATTTTGGGTTAAGTAGTGTCAATACCAAGAATAATAGAAACACATGTTTCCACATATAAGTGTTATAAAGAGTGCTCCAAAGAAAATTACAGATTTTATTATCATCCATTTTGGATCATTTAAGTCAGGATTCACTTCCATTTTTGCTGCAAGTGACATAAAATCAGCCCCGTTGCTTTTTACCACTTTCGAGACTTTGAGCCCTTGCCCCATCATGCGTCACGTGACTTTTCACGCGCGCGTGCTTTGTCCTCTCTAATGAATTGTACACTCTGCAAGGGGGAAAGATTTCTTATGCATTTTCCTCAGCACTTGGTACATGCTCTGCACACAGTAACTGTCAGTAAATGTTTGTTGACCTTACCGAATATTGTGACCGTATTAGTTTGCTAGGGCTACCATAACAAAGAACCACAAACTGGATGGTTTAAACCACAGAAATTTATTGTCTCACAGTTCTGGAGGCGAGATCTGAAATTGGGATGTTGGCAGGATTGGCTCCCTCTGAGGTTCTGAGGGAAGGATCTGTTCCAGGCCTCTCTCCTTGGCTTGTGGATGGCCGTCGTCTCCCTGCATCTCTTCACATCGTCTTCCTTGTGCATATCTGTCTCTGTGTCCAAATTTTCCCTTTTTATGAGGACACCAGTATACTGGATTAGGGCCCATTCTAATGACCTCATCTTAACTAATTATATCTGCATCAACCCTATTTCCATATAAGGTCGAATTCTGAGGTACTTGGGCTTAGGACTTCGACATATGACTTTTGGGGGGGACACAATTCTACCCATAATTGTGACCTTCCACAGAATCATACAAATTCAGAGTAAGGAGGGGCCTTAAACATCGTTTAGTTTGCCTATCTGATACTTGAATTCTCTCTTACCCTAAGCCAAGAAGAGCATTTAGAATTTTAATAATATTTTTGGTGACAGGATTTTAAGGTTGTTTTTGTTTTTTAACATGTCCGTGTATGCTTTCCAGAGTGGTTCCCACCGCCTAAGCCTCAGAGCCTTCAGAATGTGTGGAACAGGTAAGCACCACCGTGGCAAGCTTACCTTTCAGCAGGGTTGAAGGGACATTTCCCTGGACCTCAGTGCGCTGAACGCCCAGCCCCTGAGCACCTCCATCTGGGGGCCCTAAGCCCCAGGAAGATGCCTCTGGAGAGCCAGCCACCTGTGAGTCTGTTAGTTTTTCTCTATGAACCATTTTACTTTCAGTGAGTTTGGTCATTAAAATTGTTTTGTGCCCCTCAACCATGCCTGAGGCCTCGAGAACGAGGGAGTGTTGGCCTGCAAGAAAACCTAGTGGGTTTATTATTCTCCGACACAGAGAAACCAAATAACATCATTGAGTGGCTAAGGGCGGGGGGGCAGCTTGATTCATGGAGGTCATCCTTTCCCAGGCCCTCTCTACGCAGTCTCGGCTCAGACCAGGGCAGACTTTTATTACCAGCTTTCAACAAATCCCTAGTTTCTTTTGCAAAGTAAAACAGATAATAGAGACATTCCCGGAATAGTTAGCTAACTAAGCCGTGCCAGGCAACCTCAGGGCTAAGAAGAACTCAGTGTTTTCGGACAATGACCAATTACAATAACCAGTATTATTTGATCTGAGAGTAATTAGCTGAGGCTCTGTTCTTTCTGCTTCAGTGAGGAGGCTAAAAGGGCAGTGAGGAAGACATCAGAGCAGGGGAAGCGAGCTCAAATGTCAAAGAAAAACACACTCTCGCAGGTGGGGAGAGGGGAAGAGAGCCTCACCGAAAGTCTGAGCGTTGTTCTTCCCTGAAAATGTGGAAGAGTTTAACCCGACCAAATTTTGTTTGATATTTTCCCATACTGACTGTTCTTGTGCTTTAAAAGCCTCCGCGTAGAGTGACTATCAGAGCACAAAATGAAATAGGTGGGAACACAGAGCTATGGACTGGGAGGGACGGTCTCCGCAGGATGCCCGCACACTCCACTCTTACCTTCAAGTGCGCTGTGTCACCTGGAACCCCCGTTGTAGTGGAGACGGGTTCCAGGGAACAGCTGTTCATCACTTCACTCCAGATGTGCAGACCCTCTTGTCAGCATGGCCAGCCTCCCTAACCGCTAGCTAGAGATGTGTGGATTCTAGCTCTGCCCTGCGGCTTTCTTCCATTTCATTACCGGCTTCCACAATAAATGGTCACTCCAAACCTGCAAACCACCTTAATACCCCATGCTGCTGCTATGGGCACTGTCGCATGGCAGAAAAAAGTGCCGCGAGCCTCCTGCTATGGTGCCACCAGCCCTTCCTTCTAGACTGAGTGGCACTTGGGTTCGCTGAACATCCCTCTGGCTTTTATGACCGCACACAACACCCACCACCTCTGCCCATTGCCTCGCTCCCAGCAATGCCTTTGCCTTCGCTCAGACTTCTGGCTTCTCTTTGCTCAGATCCTCAAGGCAAGGAGTAACGTCCAGAGACGTGCTAACACAGTAGCCACTAGCCGCATGTGGCTATTTAAATTTAAATTAATTAAAATTAAATGTAACATTCAGCTGCTCAGTTGCACTGGACGCATTTCAAGGGCTCAATAGCCACACGTGAGTAGTGGCTACCATATCACACGGGGCAGAAATAGAATATTTCCATCATCAGGGAAACTTCTATTGGACGGCACTGACCTAAATTATCACAGGAGAAAGTTCTTGGCTGGGGGAAGGGCTTTGTTGTTGAAAGAGGGATGTTCTGTGGGATGTTTGCAATGTGCCTAGCGGGGTGCTGCGTATTTTATTTCATTTATTCCTCCCAAATCTCATTCCCATTTCAAAGAAGACGAAACTGAGGCTCAAAGAAGTTGAGTGACTTAGCCCAAGTCATGAAGCTGAGTAAGGGGTGGAGCCAGGATGCATCTGGTGACAGGTCTCCGTGGCTGTGGCAGTTGAGTCAGGTTGCCGGTGCTATGAGGAAGAAGCAGCCAAGCTGTCACTGGCTGCTTTACAAGATTTCTGCAGAGGAGCAGGGGAACTGTGCTCCTGCCGGAGATGCCCCTCAGGACCTGGCCTGGAGTTGGACGGTGACCCGACTATCGGGGGCCTGGTGAGTGCATCCTCACTTGTTAGGTTGAGTGGAGAATTACAGACAGCTTCTGTTGTTTCTTCCTGGTGTTGGATGTGTTTCTTATTGGCGGATCTGCTCCACCTCATCCTAAACTGACAGCATTGAAAAAGCCCCCACTCTCCCGGAACAACAACAAAAATGTCACTATTGAAAAGAACTGATGTTATTTGAATAAAGTCTGCAGCATAGTTACTAGTATTGTGCCCATATTAACTGCTTAGTTCCGATAATTTGACTACGGTTATATAAGATGTAACATTAGGGGAAGCTGGTGGAACATGTAAGGAAAATCTCCGTATTATTCCTGCAAGTCTTCTGTAAACCTAAAATTACTTCAAAATAAAGACAAATTGAAAAAGAATGCCCACACTATCCCTGCCCTTTTTCTCTTTCCGTGGATCTAGGGGAAAATGACAAAAAAACCCCAGTTGAACTCATAGGGACTAGCCTTGTCCTACAAACAGATAAAGCCCTTCCACCACCCAGGTTGATGGCAGCAATGGCGGTGGGAGATTTTTATACTCAGAGCCAGGCTGAGCTCAGAAATCAAGGCTGCTGCCTCAGGCACCTGAGAACCATGAGATTTCAGACGTGTTGAAGGACAGGCTGGTCGGTGGCACTTTATACAACCACCAAAGGAAAAGCCTGACTTTCATTTTTTCTTATTGTTTATGTTTTTATTCTGGACTTCTAAAATTAAATGTGGATGTCCTCACACCCAGCACATCTTTTAGGATACGTTTACAATTTTAATCCTTTTTACAACTTGTATAACCAATGGGGCCTGTAGCAATTCAAATCTGGTGGAGGGAATTTGTTTTCCTTGCACACAGGGACAGGAAATCTCCAGAGCTGCTATGGAACCGGAAATTGGTACAACTTCACTAAATGATTTTCTTTTTCTTTTTCTTTTTTTTTTGGTGAGGAAGATCAGCCCTGAGCTAACATCCGTGCTAATCCTCCTCTTTTTGCTGAGGAAGACTAGCCCTGGGCTAACATCTCTGCCCATCTTCCTCCACTTTATATGGGACGCCGCCACAGCATGGCCTGACAAGCGGAGCCTCGGTGCGCGCCCGGGATCCGCACCCGGGGCCGCCAGCAGCGGAGCGCGCGCACTTAACTGCTACGCCCCGGGGCCCGCCCCTAAATGATTTTCTTAATCGAAAATTTTAACATGTTGTATATCCTTCAACCTGGGAGTTTCGATTCTCAGAATTTGTACTAAGGAAATCATGGCACAAATACACAAAGATTTCTCATTGATGATATTTGTCACAGCATGATTTTAATAACGGCCCCTAACAAGAAAAGAAACAACTTCAATAAGGGTCTCACTATGAAGACTGTGGTGTACTCACATAATGGAACGCTATGCAGCTGTGACAAGTTATGTCCTAGGAGGCTAGTCAGAGTCCTGGGAAGATGCCCAAGATAGTCAAGTGGAAAAAGTAGGTTATAACAGCATGTAGAGGATGGTCCCATTTTTTTGTAAAACAAAAAATATATCTGCATAAAAATAAAGGACTAAAGAAGAAAAAATGAACACCAAAGCAATGATGATTATCTTTGAGTGAAGGGAGTTGTCTCAGAGTGTTGGGATAGTTTTAATTTCCTTTCTCTGCATTTCCTAAGTGTTCTACAATAAGTATGTATGACTTTGGCAATGGACCACTTCTCACTTCTTGAAATGTTACTGGAAGGAGAGGTCCATCAGAGGATTCTTTGTCTTTATTAACAGACTCTCATTAATTGTGTGTGTGGGTTCTCCTAACTCTGCAAGAGACTCCTGGCATGTTCTGTAGTTAACATCACAAGCCTAACAAATAATATTTATTAACATTTAGTCTATATGGAAAGGTGCTGGCAGGCAAATCAATGTTTGTGATGTTCGCTTTTCATGCCAACTTTCATTTCCAAAGTAGAGGTGGTAACCAGTGAAGAACTGTCCTAGTAGGAGTTAGAGGAGGTGGCAAATTGTAGAAATGTGACAATGAAGGCGGTGGATAGTAAGCAAGACTGTAAATGCAGAAAGAAGCAGAATGATACAAACATGGAAATCAATTAATATTTGTGCCCAAAGAAGCAACATCTGTATCCGTGGGCCTCTTTTCTCAGCTCCCAAATAAGAGTGCAATATGCCAATGGCAAGGTGGAGACTATAGGACACTTGCCCAGGTCAGGTTGTCCTGCACGAGTGCCGCTAGTACAGGCTTATATTCAGGAGGGCACAGATTTGGCTTATCCAGGGAAGACCAACATGATCTTGGCTCATGGGAGGAAAAGCTTTCATTTGTATACTTTGCCCTGGTCTATACTTTGCCTATCTCTGCCTCCTGCGGAGCAGGAGAAGTGGGTGGTGGCGGTCATAGTTGGGAGGCCTTGGGACGGGAACAAATCCTGACTGCACTGAAACCTTGCTATAACTTGTGGGAAGGTGAGGGCAAGGTTGGTTAGTTGAAGAGGAAAGTCCTAAAAAAGAAGTCCTCACGTCACCCATCAGGACCTACTCTCCTTTCTTTCATTTATTTGCCTGGTAAAAATGGCCTGTGCTTGCATGTGTTCCTGCTAACCGGTAGGCTCCATCAGCCTTTCCTGGCTTCCCCAGCCCCCAACATTCACACACAGTCTAGACACAAACAGTATGCGTGTCCTGCTAACACAGGACCAAAACTGGTCCCCTAGCCTTCCTTATCCAATCGGATTGCAGCTCCCAAGCCCCTTCTACAGAGCAATTCTGTAACGATTCAATTGTTATGGGCCAGTGGGTGGGAGCGTTGGGAGAGAACAAATCCCTGATTGGGGTGGAGGTGGAAGCTGACACATGCATTGCTCCCCACTCTCCATCATCAGCCACCTACCCACCCCCTGGAAATTCATAGAGTGGCTGCAGGCCCCAATTTTGGCACACATTCCGCCCCACCACCCTATAGCGTGCGGCGACCAGCTAGATCTTTTTTCAGGAGATTTTCACTGAATCTCCTTCCAGACTACCACCAGGCCCTAGTGATGTGTACCAGCTCCCCACTCCAAGCCCCAATTTATTGGCCTGAAAACTTGTGCCTGGGGAGGGCACCCTGGATGGAGAAAATACCCGCCAGCCCTTCTTCAGCCACAAGCTAATGAGCAGCCTCCACCCCAGGGTCCCTTCTCTCCTAACTGGCCTGGAAATTTGCAAGGAATGGGGATTTGCAAATTTCTTCTCTATCTTCAGTCTGTGAAGCAATTACTCCTGAGATTGAGGTAAAGTTATTTGTTTATAGAAACAGCTTTATGTCATGGGAATCAGATACCTGACAGTTTCTTATATAAATCTTATGCAAAAATTAGGCAAATTGCAACTCTGGGCCAGGCCTTCCAGCGTCACGGCATCATGGCCCCTGGGAAGGGGAAGGGTGTCAGTTCTTTGTCGCTTTGGTTGGTTTGTATATTCGACATTATATAAGCGTATCGATTTTGGCTTAATTGGGGATTTGCATGGCCACGCACCGTAATTCTGAATGTCAGACATCAGTCCTGCAGTTAATTACCTCCTGGGATCTGCAGTTTTCCATCTCGTGGTTTTCCACTCGCAAACCTGTCTGTGGGCTCTAGAGATGGCTGCACTTAAATGATTGGCACTAGATTAGCAAAGACTTTCAAAACATTATAAGTAAGTAGAAAACATGGAGCCCCACAAGGCCTGCCCTCCCCCAGCTTCATATCTGGCCCACTCCCCTCCTTGTGCCAGCTGGCCTTTCTTCCCTGCCCTAAACTCACTCTCTTCCCTCCCACCTCCCCAGGGTCTGTAAGAGCAGCACAGATCTCTGCCTGCAGCGCCTGCTCTTCCCCTGCCCCAATCCCTCAGCTCTCAGCGCAAAGGCCACTTCCTCAGGGAAGCCTTCCCTGCCTACCTCTTCCCACACTAAGTCAGGTATCTGGGCCTTTTTCTTCACGGTGGCACTTAAGCATTTGTATGATCATTTGCTTAGCCTCTGACTGCTCTACTAGACTAAGCTCCTGGAGGCAGAGTCTTGACTGTTTGTCCCAGAGCCAACCACCTACTAGCACATAGTAGTTGCTCAATTAATGGGTTTACTCATCTCCAAATTTATAACTCAACATAGGGTCAACTTGAGGATTTGTCTACTGTAATTTGGGAACTTAATTCTCTCTCTTCCTGTGCTCCATCTCAGTGGGAACCAAGACAGTGTCTTAGCTAATAACCCTGGGAGCCGAGCTTCAGAAACACCGTAAATAAGGGTGTTTTCTACCAAAGCTTCCCCCTCCAGAGTCGCCTCTCCCCCTCTTCCCCCTGCAGGATTCTCTGCTCGCAGCGCAGCCTTTGGAGTCCAGAGCCTAAAGCATATTTCCAATGGGGCTTTTCTGCTCGCTGGGAGCTACTGCGTCCCTCAAAGAAGAATCCTTAATTATATGTTTCTGCTTCTATAATTACAATTCTGAGTCCTTTCTGTATACACGGTGCCAGAGACATGGCAGAGGGTGGGGGCGCTGGATGATAGAAGCTGAGAGTTTTCCCTTCATCTTAGTAACAGGACAGGGAAGAGTTTCCCTGTGGGGCTTATTTCCGCTTGCCATCAACGTTACTAACCCCAGGAAAATTCTACTTGAAACACTCTTCTAGCCATCTCCTTTTCTTTCTTCCCCTTTACTTTTCAGAAGGGAGGCCTCTGGAGAAACTTTTTCTCTTCCACTTTTCCAGGTTGGGCAGGGTTCCTGAAGCCGAAGACCTGGCCTCACAGATGCTGAAAAGCTTTCCGAGGGACCGCGTCTCGGCGCAGGAAGCGCTGGCTCACGATTATTTCAGCGCCCTGCCGGCTCAGCTGCACCAGCTTGCTGACGGTGAGTCTGTGAGCGTGTGCACGTGCACACGCGTGAGTCTCAGGGTCTCAGTGTTTTCTCTGAGCGCTGGGGAATCGTAGCATTTGCAACCAGGAGTGAGCTCGGAGATCAGTTGCGTGGGAGAAGTGAGATGGGACCAACCTTGCCTGAGTTTCGCACCCGATTCTCTAAAGCTCGAAAGCGCTGCTGGGTCGAGGTGAGACAGACCCCCGTGTAATGATCCAAACATTTCCACATACACACGCACGCTCAGAATCAGACGAGATGGAGGCTGCCCCTGAGTCGTTTGCTTTCGCTGGCATCTGCCAGGAGTAGCCAAAGTTTCCAACAACCCCCCTCTCTTTCCCTAGGGAGTAAGATGATAGGTGACATGGATATGTCAGAGAGCAGAGCTGGGCCTTTCTTGGTTGGTAACCTGATGCTGCCGAAGGAAGCGCCGGGGTGGGGCGCTGGGGGCGGGAGCGCCCGCCCAGGCCAGACGCCCATGGGAAACACAAGTTCCCCTGAAATCAGCTCTGCTGCCTGGGCCTGAAGTCATCCTCCAAATCTGAAATCTGCTGAGGGATCATGTGGCTGGAGCGCTGCTCAGGTTTCTCAGAATGTGGCCGGGAAGGGCCATGCGGAGGATGTGGGCAGTGCGGTCACGGCCCCGGCTGTTTGGGGGACTATCCTTAGGTGGGGTTTCCTTGAAAACATCCACCATGCAGCAGAAAACAGTTTTTAGAAGTCCTAAGCCGGAAAGAAGAAAGCTAAGAAGGAAAGGCTAGGGGCTCAGGCTGGGAGGAGGGCGCAGGGATAGGGTGCGGAGGGCGAGGATGGGGCCAGGGCGGGAGGCACTGCCCAGGAGGCTTCGACAGCCGCGCCCACCGCAGTCCCCAGGATTGGCCAGAAGCGCGGCTCGCCTGCATCCAGCACAGTCCCGCAACGGTCCAAGGCTCTTAGCTTGGGATGTCTTGAGGTATGTTATTATTAAAGTGAGTCATTTAGGATCTCCAAAAAAAACCATAATCATACAACGGGGGTTAACGTCTTACTTAACCCTGTGAGAAGTCATTCGTCAGTATTTATTAAGTTGCCATTAAGTGTCAAGAACATATTAAGTGCTATAAAAATTGAGGAAAAAAAGAGCCTTGTCCTTGACCTCGAGAATCCTCCCGAGTGGGAGGAAAAGAGGGTGAGGAAGAGGAAACAGGGACCCTTGTACACGTGGCAACACAAATCATATCTCAACAGCCCAAGTCTGTGCATAATGAGCTGCAGATGGTCAGAGAATACGTGTGTACTGAAGGCGGTTCTTTGGAGGAACCAGAATAACTCAAGGGAGAGGGATTAGACCGGAGGTGAATCTGGACTGGAATTTGGAAGGAGGGGACGGACGTGGTTTGGCATGTGGGTGGAGTAAGAGACATTCCAGGCGACTGCAGTTCTCACCCCTTCCTGCTACCTCACCCCCACCACATCCCCATCGCTCCCCCGCTCCCATCCCAGCACCCTCTTCCCAGTCTGAGCCCCTGCATCCCTCCTTCTTAGCTTTCTTCTCTTGGGCTGGGGACTGCTAACTACCACTTCAGGCAAGTATACACACTTGGGCGTACACACACACACTCAGAGACTCTCACTCACACACACAGACTCTCTCACACACACACATACTCACACTCCCCTCTCTCCACTTAAAGAAACTTCCCCACTGGCCCTCCTCCAGGATCTATTATTCTACATACTGAGAACCGTTGTCGGGGACCTTCAAAGTTGTCTGGGCCCCAGCTTCTGCAGGAGGAGAGTCATTAGGAAGAAACAATCACTGTGCCACCTGATGGGAGGGTGGAAACTTGGGTTTGATTCTTCCTGGCCACCGAAGCAAAGCCACCAATAGAGGGGCTCTGCACATGCATCTCTGTGTGTCTGTCTGTCCTCTGCGTGTGTGCTCACGGGCACATAGAAGTGTAAGAGAGAGACCAATCTGTATTCCTTCTCTGTTCGCCCAGCCACAGAGCCCAAATCTACTTTGACACTTATAGAAAAATGAAAAGATGGAATCTTGCAGGAGCCTGCCTGCACTGGGGGGAGACAGGAGTGCTCACAGCAGGAGGGAAGTTGACTTTTCTTTATACATATAGGGGTTTTTCCATGCAGAGTTTAAATTATGCCTGATAAAAGGAGTTTCGTGGATGTTTCAGTTCTTTCAAATTCTCCTGGCTTCCTCCCAATTAAATGAGGTTTGTCAAAGCCACAGGGCTCTGCTGCCGCTGCCTCGGCCGACAAGCACTTCCTGCAGCGACATCGCGAATCCCTGAGGGAGAAGATGAAAGGGCCGGCGCCAGGAGACAGGGGGAGGATGGTGGGGGGTGTATGTGTGCATGTGGGAGGGGGTGCAGAAGCAGCTTTAGAGACAGACCAACAGATAGGACGTGGGACAAGTAGACAGGGAAAGCAAAGCTCCCAGGAAAATTGGAAAGAAAAATAGAGGGAGAGAGAGAAGCAGCTGGGGCCACAGCTTGTGCGCCTTGACCCCAGTGGCCCTCCCCACGGACACGTCCACTAAGGGATGTGCTCTCCTGGCCTGGCAGGGCCAGCCTATGTTTTCACTGCCCACGGCAATGAGCCTTTATTAAGAGCCTCCTTGGCAGACAGGGAGTACCTGTCTGGTTGTCAAAGTTCCCAACCTGCAGGGACACAGAATCTCCATCCCCAGGATGGGCTGCCCCAGGCCGAAGAATTTGGCAGAAATAAGACATGCTCTTGTGAGTGGTTTGTAAAGAAAGTTGCATAATTATGCAAGAAATGTTGCTCTCTGGTGGCATTTCAGTATGGAATCATTCAGGGGTTTATATTTATATCATTTTATTATTCTGGTTTTATTCTGGTTGCGGGATAACAAAGTTGTCACTTTAAAATATATTCGGTTTCCCCTTGGATCTGGGAGATGCCAGCTCGTATTGTCTGCCCTCTGACGAAGACAATTTAAGCATGAAACCTGTGGCTGGGAAATGTGTGAAGAGTGGAAAGACAGCCTAAATTCCCAGTGGAAGAGTGGCATGGAAATTCCCCAAGAAATTCAAGATCGCTCCCATCCGTCCATGTCTGTTTTCACGAAGCTGAGAAATCCTGAACGACACTCTCTCTCGGTTGTGGCAGCAAGCTGATGGCCAGAGGAAATGGGGGCTTACTTGCCATGAGAATCCAGGGATTCCTGGATTGGTTCTCTTCTGGAGAGCTCTCTGAGGGGGAGAAGTGTGAATGTTAAAATGGCAGGCAGGCGGGAACTTCTGCCAAGTGCTGACATCGTCCCTGCTTGACTCTTGAACACCTGAAGAAACATTTGTTGAAGGAGAAATTATTGGTAGTCTCTCTCAAAACACACCCAACAGCAAGCTAATTGCTTTTGCAGATGGCCAGGGAGATGTTCTTCCCACTCAGTGCCCGGCTTACGGCTGCACTTGTGGTCCTCAGGCTGAGCCAGCAGCAGGATGTCAGCTGGGGCTGCCAGGACCTAAAATTAGGCCAGTGGCAACTCTCTAATCTTAGCTGCAGGTTCAGCTTCTTCGTTTAATTCCCTCTGCCCTCAGCATGAACTTGGGCTCTGGGAAATGAGCACTGTGTAATGATTTGGGGGTAGGGGGAGTAGAAAATCATTAAGCTGCCCCTTCTAGAAATAGGCTCCACTCCGTTCCTGCAGGGAGCCTTCCAAATGTTACCCTTGGAAAGTGAAGACTGATTTTGGAACCTAGCCATTGTGAACCACAGACACTGATCCCCAAAAGTACCTTTTTATCTGGGGCCGTGAATGCCACGCGATTTAAGAGTCTGGTCCTTAAGCCCCAGGCCTTGATCGTCAGGACATCAAAGGCTGTCTCTCTGTGGGTTGCTCCCATTCTGCTTTTCCAATCCCAGGCTTGAGTCTTTCCCATTTCTTCCTGGACTAAATCCCCCTTCTCCTTTAAAACAGGTTTCAGCATCTTAGGAAAAAGAAAAATCCTGAAACTTAAAAGCTTACAATTGTTTCACAAGTAGTTTTGCAAAAACAACTTGCCAGAGTCCTTCTTATGGTCGTCCGCCCCTTACTTGTGGGGATGGAAGAGGCCGTGGCATTGGCCTCCAGCCACATCACACCACCTGGTATCTGTACGCTGGTGGTTCCTCAGCCCTCAGCGAGCCTTATTCATATTGCCCCATCAAAATCTGAGTGATTTTTTGTTTTTTTCCAATAAAAGAACCTCAGCCTTTCTTTTAATATTATGTCTTTAATATATTTGAAGATCCTTTGGTATCACTTTCCAAAGGTCACTTTTCTAGGCTGAATTCCTTTGACCCCCTCCCATATAGATTCTATTTCTCTCACTCTTTAATCATTTTGTTTCATTATTCTATTCTGAACCTATCTCAATTATTTTGTTTATCTCTGAGACTATGGACCCAATGTAGACTCAGGTTTCTAACATAGTGGGAGAATTATGTTCCAGCGCATTCATGGAAGACCTACTGAGGGTCTATTAGGTGTGGTATTGAGGGATACAAAAGTGAATTAGCCATAGACACTGTCCTCAAAGAGCTTACCATCCTTAGGAAATGAGACAATTATATAAACAGCCACAGATCAAATGTAAAGTACTCTGGGTGTTCGGAGGAGGTGAGATTAACTCTGGTTGTGGGGATCCAGGATGGCTCTGTGAGTGGGTCTTGAAAGATCATGGGGCCTGGATGGTTGGGACGGAAGGACATCCAGAGAGAGGAATGTCACCCTCCTTGCAATACGATCTAACGTCGTTCTGAAGGTGTCTTCTTCAGACACCTTCAGACACCTTCTAGAATAGACTCATATTCTATCCTAGTTTTTACTCCTTATCATTGTATGCCTTCTTGCAACAATTTAAACATTCTTTAACACGTACTAGTGAAATTTAGTTTAGCTCTTTTTATGCTGACGATACAAATCTGTTCTGTTTGTTGCTTTTATTGTCTAGTCTATTCAAACTTTAACCAGAATACTTTGTCATTCT